ATATATAAAACTGTGCTATAAATACACAAAGCCCATAATGCATAGGATTCGTTTACACTATAATCACAACTCTGGAATAATGAAGAAAAGCTAAATCCAAATAAAATATTTAGCTTAAAAAATGACCCCTGTCTATTTTCAGAGACCTCGTTATTAAGAATTTCGGTATCGAAGATAGCATTTATGAATATTCTAAACTCTGGTTCTGTTCTTTCCTCATTGTATTTGCTCAACTTTTTGTCATTTCACTGTTCATTAGCACTTTTATGTGAAGATGAAAAGGAGGCAAATTCAGTCAATTTTACAACTTATTCTTTTATCTCTGATAAAAGATCTAAAGAGTAAATTTTAAGTTATTAGTTAAAAACAAGACTTGGGTATCACTATATTTATCATTGTGTACAACTAAAGCTAGATTAATAAGCTTATACTTTTATAAAAGAAAATAAAGAGTTCCTTATTGATAAAAAGCAACTGAGAATATAATTATTTCTACACCAAAGACAATAAGATCAGAAATATTAAAATATAATGAATATATGTGTATGTATGTACATGTGTATATACATGTACTTACACATACATGCACACACACACATTGTACAACATGGTTTGGTGGAAAGAACTCTCAATAAAAAGCAGAATATCTGGGTTCTGGACCTCACTCTGCCACTTGCTGGGCAATCTTAGATAAGATAATCTCAGACATGAGCTTCAATTATCTCCACTGTATAATAAGGTAGTAGGATAAGTGTTTCTAAGATCCTTTCAAACTCTGACACCCTGTGAGTACACACACACACACACACACACACACACACACACATTTATTGACAGGCAAGACTGGTACTCACTAGCATACAGCAGTATGGTGCAACTGATCACAATCCAGCATTTGTTATGATTAGTCTGTCAATGCTTCGCCAGTTGTTAAAAAGTGTGAATGGTTGTCCTATTTACAGGCACTCTCCAAATTATAAAATGCCTATCATGTGTGACCCTCTGCGCTCTGCCTTCCACACACACTGAGGACACTCCAGAATTTAAACAGGCTCTCTTAACCTCCGGTTACAACCTGGAGTACCATCCCTTTCCTGCTGCCCCCTCAAAAACAGTTTCTATATATGCCTTTCTCTATATTCCTCAGTTCCTACTATTCATATCTTATTTAATGCCATGTCAGGTAACTTCTACATACACTGAAACCATTTTTAGCTTTCTTCCTCTGTCCTCCCCCTTCTCCCTTCTGAGCCTTGTCCAGTTTTCTTATCTGAATCTCCACTTCATTCCAACGGGAGTAAAAACAAAATGATAAACATGACTATTAAACCAAGAGTGATGGCAGTGATACATCCATATAAAGACAACAAAAGACATGACAAAGTTCCAGTTTCATCAGCCTCTGAAATTTGTAAACACATACAGGAGTCCATTCAGAATTCACATACATTTCCATTCATTCATTCATTTTCCACAATCGCCAGCGTCACAGAAGGTGTGGAAAACTTATTTAAAATGTGCAGTTTTAATTTAATTTAATATATTGCTATTTTATATAATTACTAGGATTGTAACTTCCCAACACAATCAATCCCTTTTCCTCACTCTATATTATACATACAAAAAATTGTATATCTCTAATATTATAGTATAATATTTTCCTGTATTATATTATAATTATTTGTCTATTGTCCCTACTAAAACATCCTAATTTCCTTGATGGCAGATTCAACTCAGTAACATATTCATCATTGTATTCCCAGTGCCTAAGCACTTCATAAAGACATGTTGAAATCTAAATGTCGCTTTCTTGTACTTTATTTTACAATGGTATAATATTTGAGCAATTAGGCTTTTGTAGACTAGCTAGCCTAAGACTCTAACACCACATTTGGAACACCATTTGGGGGAAAAATCATCATAGTTCTAAAGAAATAATTTACAAGTAGAATTCTGAAACTTAATGTTCTTGAAAATTCATAGCCTCATAAGGGCCTCAGCAATCTTGTAGTCCAATCCCAACATTTACAGATGAAAAAAAATATAAGCTCAAATACGTTTAAGAGGCTTGCCCAAAGTCAGTGACAGAGCCAGACTCGAAGATTGTCTTCTTAACCCATTGTTTTTTTCTGCTACATCATGGAAACCACACACACACAAAAAATGTGAGGTATGATTGTCTTGTTTGTGTATACATATACACATACACACATACATATATATACATGCAAATATACATATATATACATATATTCCATATTCTTCTACTTTCAGTTGTTAAGAACTTTAAAGATTTCAGTTATTTTGGATGTTATGTCACAGTTTATCCAGTTAGTCAACTTCAACTATATTTTATAATATATAAATCCTATCAATCATTATTGGCTCAAGAATACACTATAAAGACTTCCACATATCTTTAGAGACAAATTATAAAGTTCACACTTAATAAAAACAAAAACAATCTGAACTCTACTGATAGTAAAAGTATAGTCTAATTATACATTAAAAAGTCCTTTCTATGTATTTTAACTTTAGTGCCAAAATACATTTTGTTCTTATTGATTTTATATGCTTGCGTATATATGCAGAGATGACTCTGTCTCAATAAGCTATGTATACTATTTAATACCAACTTAAAAATGGGAAATGTAGATACAGTCAATAGTAAATGAATGTACAAAGTATTTTAGTAGTACTAAAGTACCCCTAATATACTATAATTTTGATAGAGAAAAGCTGAATTTACTATAGCTAAAAAGGTTTCTTAGATATCTTGAAGCCTTAAAAACTTGGCCAAACTATTGTTCAATGTGCACACAGTTTGTGTCTTCATGCTCAGATGTTGTTGAAACAGCAGACTTAAAAGAAATAATGTCAATGAATCCTACCAAGCACTATACATGACCTCTGGGGTAATTAGCAATCATTCAAAAGCAACAAGACTAAAATGTTCTATTCTTTATTACTGTCAGCTCTTATCTTGATCAGCATTTTAATAAAGATGGTTCGTTTCTAAGACAGTTTCATGAATCAGTCATAATTACATTCTGACATGCAGTGAATAGTAAAGCAAAACTAAATATCACTTCATCAACCTTTCTAACCTTTATGCAAGTATTAACTGTAAATAATTTTTACACAATCCTACAACAGAAAATCTGCATATTTCTTAGCTTTGTACATACTTTACCCCAAATGAATTTCCTGTGACCTATACCTGAAAAACACAATCAGCCATAATTATCCAGTTTTGTGAGATGTTCAGGTGTTGCCTTTCAGAGTTCAAATCAACTTCAAGTATAAAAGGCTACTTTATTCTACAAATGGCACAATATGCAAAATGGGTTAAGTAGCCAAAAGCATCTCAGAGCATTGTGGCTTGAAAGAAGTCTATCCAGAATCAAAACGTCATAATAAAACTACTCTAAAGCAGAGCAACACTTATAAAAATAGATTCATAGATTACACATTGAGGAATGGATTACTAATGACTACTGCAGAAAGTCTTATAATTAAAATATGTTAAAAGAAGAATATTAATTAGAAGGAAATCTGAGCACTTAAGTATCTGAAGGATAGATTTTTTTTTTAAATGTAATTCTAAAATAGCTGATGGAAGAGGTTGAAAATTTATCAGAAAAATAAAACTTACTTAGAGGTACTATTTTGATATTAAGGATAAAGTGAAAACTGTTTCAGTGCCCTCCTCCCCCAGCAAAATACTCGATTTACTTTAGAGTTTTGAAATAGCTAATTTCTCTTTTTGCTGAGAACTAATTATTTAAAATATTTTAGATAGACAAAGCAAACATAATTCAACTATCAGAATAAACCAATACTGCATTTTAGGGGATTGATTGTTTCAGTTCTCTAAGAAAATTTCAAAATAAATGCATTGTTTTCTCAAGAATAATTTCTTGACTTTCCAATAGTGGACGTAGTATAAATGGACAATTTGGGACACAGAGTTAGGTTCTCAAACCTATATTTCCAACTATGCCTCTCAAATAAATAAAGTTTACAATAAATTTATTATGTAATATTTTTAACCAAACTGATTTTCACTGAAAACTTAAATACTGTGAAATACTCACATATGTATAATTTAGTTTTTGTAATTTCAATTTGAAAATAAGTTCTTTCCAAAAACCAATCTAAATTTATTCCCTATTTGTTTTGTCACACATTTTATTATAAAACAACCTTACTAGGATGTTACTGATTTGAAGGCAAAAAGGAATACAGCAAGCATCTTTTTCATATGGGATTAAAAACACAAAAAATGCATAGGTCTTTTATGTGATAATTTTTGTTTAACTTTTCTATTTAGCTTTCTTGAGCATTATTCCTTTCTCTTATTGGAGGTGCAAGCAAAGAAGGGAAAAGAAGTGTTGATTTAAGAAAACAGATTTCCCAGAAAGAAAAAAACTGTGATTAAGATTTAAACAAAAGCTAAAGATGGCTTCCTCTGAGCCCTGATGAGGTCCGCTACCTCATTACGAACAACTGAAAACTTGTGATGCATTTTGTTTCAAGAGAATCCAAAAGTCCTTGGTATAAAGCAGACAGGGGGTGCAGGGTCCATTCACTCTTTCTGTATCACAACCATTATGTAAAAAGTATAAAACACTGCCTTTATGCTGCCAAGCCACAATGACTCTTCCTACATCAAAGGATTTGCACCACTAGGGTTTTTTCTTCAAAATTTATTCAAGCTAAGGGCAGAGAGACAACGATTCATACACGCTAATTACGCCTAATTATCTATTCCCTTTTCTGACCAGCTTCGGCCAGTGTTATTTGCTATCTGGATTTCTCACAACCTCCCTTTGCCCTGTCCATCCAGCCCAACAGTGAAGGCTTTGAAGAAAACAGTTGTGGCTTTTTAGAGTTTCCTCAATATAGAGTTCAAGCAAATTAAATAATGATTCTGTTAGTTTTGACACATTTATGCGTTCAATATGAGGACCTCTTGGTTAATTTGGCAAATTCCTCACATCTCTTCATGGTTGGAATCATAGTAACACCCTCTCTTATAGGAGCTTCTCCTCATGCTTTCTTTTCATGATCTAAATGAAATGTTTATTGGATTAAAGTTCTTCTCTGCAGACCTCCATGGTGGCCTATGACAAAGAGCTTAAAAGTTCTATTAATTGGCTTGAGTTTTCAGGGAGGGGAAAGGGAGAATTTTATTTCACATTACATCACTAGCCAAGAAAATTGCCACGTGTAATTAAACTAATTTATCTCATGATTCAAAGAACTAATTCATATTTAAGACACACTTCCTT